CGCACTCGGCCTGGGTCAACATCCTCCAAAGGCTGGGTAACTGGTCAGTCACCGATTGAGAAGCACTACCCATATACATACACACCTCACATGCGTGAGAGTGCCACAGTTCACTTTACGAAGGAGTCGTTACATCCTGGTCTTGGGCCCATCAATCTGCCACTCCACACAAACACATACAACTGGGCAGATTTTGTGGACCTCGAGGAGGCGTCGGTCGGCGGCCTTCCAAGCCACGGTGCTGGACGTCTTGATCTCGGACTTGGATCACACACATAGCAGAGGAGTCGCATGGAGAAGTAACCGAGAAGAATACTTCACACTTAAGTGAAAGATGGCAATTGAGTGCTGATTTACATTATAAAATATATACAACCATTATGGCCTAAAGGTTTTTTGAGCAACCAAAGGCATAGTGAAAGATGGATGGAAGGGGCTTTCGGTGACCGCCGACGGTCTTCACCTTTGCATATGATAGTAATTCCACGCTGGAAGGTTTTAGTGAAAGTGTAAACTCTGGTGGAGGGAGTAGAAAAAAACTCTTGAACCGAAAGTATGGGAATAATTCAGGGAACACACTGCCTAAATGTTTGTACCTCAGAGACATTTCGCATTGCAGCCAGTTAAGACTTAATGCTTAGTGACATAAAGAAGCGTTTTGTTTTAGTGCACCAAAATACAACCTGCGAAGACTTAGACAACACGTTCAATAATAAGTTATTTTTGGTCATCCGTTCAAACTGCAAAGGGAGCGGGCTCATTCGGACGTCCGACGGAACGCCTTCTCTCGCAGGGTCATCGGGGCATGGAATGGACTCCCTGATTCCGTCGTTCTTTCCGAAAGTGTCAAATCCTTTAAGTGCAGACTAGACGCTCATTTGTTGAGAACCTACTGTACATATAATAATGATTGTTTTAGCGGCAGCAGTTTGCGCCTAGCTCACACTTACCGCTAACTTCTTAACTTTTTGCATTTGCTGATGTAATTGATGACTTTATTTCTGTTTATCGATATGAATAGGGAGCTCAAGGGCGAAAGCCTCATTCCCTTAATAAACTGACTTAAACTGACTTGACTTAAACTGACTGCATTCTCGCGGTTGCTTTGTTTCTTCTACTTCTCCTCTTGCATATGCCTGTGTGCACTCACCCTCAAAGTCCAAGCACAGACTGGTTTATTTCTTATAGAGGTATGGAGTGAGTGCGGAAGACTTAAATCTTCCTGATGTCTACTGGTTCCAACAGCCAGGTTCTAGCAGGCTTGAGATCTTGTTTGAATCCTTGGGTGCCTGTACGTAGAATCAGTTGTCAAAGTTCCTGTTAAACGATCAGACAAACTTTATGTTTTGTAGAAGCCATTGACCGTTAGCAGTCATCCTTTGGTACATCTGAATGCTCTGGCCACGACATAAGTGATCACGCACCGGATTTCCAGGTTGACCATATCTTTGTACAAAAGCATAGTCCATTTGACTTTTATGAGACTTGTCTAAACGACATGCTAACACTTCGTAATTCCATTGACTGGGTTGACATCTTTCTTAGCTAGGATGAAAATTATCGCATTGCAGGACTTCACGGAGTTTTGAACAAAATTACTTCTTTTCTTCTTTGTCAGAGGAAAATAATCCGCCTTAATGGCGACAGTTATTCCTCTAATGCTTTTGTCGTAAACTGTGTTGCGGAATCTAATACCATATGGAGACCCTTAGCCGCTACAGCCTTCAGGTTCAGTCCCGACCAGAAAGAGGTGTTGGACGCTAGTTGAGAGGATGTTGTATTCCGTAGAGAAAAACTGAAGAACTGGCTGTAACAAGATGGAAAACGAACGAGGACGCACGTTGGGCGCTGTGAGAGCTGCGTCTTAAAAGACGGTCGAGCGTGTGTCACAGCGCCTTGGGCGAGAGTACGCATGAGCCGGCCCTGGATATGATTAGTCGGTTTATACAGCTGCGATTGGCAGAGGGCCAGACCAAGCTTGCGCCCACGTCCAAAGGTAGGCGGCCCAACCGTGCCAAATGTCAAAGCCATCATATTCTACCTCCAATAAGACTACAAGACAGTGGCCTAGGGGGAAGATTGGGGATTATTAAGGACGACGGGAAGACGGGTTGGAGTTCAGACAGGATAGGGAACAAGGGGATGTCCACTGGTGGAGACCCGTTGGCCTGGAGACAGTCCTTGGTTGATCCGCTAAGCGAAAACAACGATGACATGTAGAGACGTCGGGGGGGGGGGGAGGGAGGTGTTCCCTGATCCAAGGTGCCCGGACACCAGTTGTTCTCGGTATCTATGGGGCTCCAGTTGATGCAAGTAGGTTTAATGAATAGACCAATAGTCAAGAGTAAGCATGACAAAGAAAGTTAGGATAAATCAGAGGACTAGCCATCAGGATGACCGAGATCGCAAACTGCCAAATATGGCAATACTGCAATGGCCAATAGGATTAAAATTGGAAGGTGGCTATAGCGGCGCCATGGTGCCGGTGGATAACCAGTAACGCTCTAGGAATCTAATATGACTAAGCCAGAGCCGGGAAGGCTGCGGCTACATCCCTTACAAGTACATGCCAGGGGTGCAGCGTTGCAACGACGCCCGGAGCAGGACCACTACAATTACGAAGCCTCCTCCGTCATTTCGACATTCAAAATAACAGTTTATTTTCTGCCTTAGTACGCCGTAATTGTAATCGGACTTGGAGTCTCTCCGAAGAAAAAAGATCAACCAATGGCTGGCTCACTGACGCTCCTCCTTAATCATCAGTGAGAACGCATAGGAAAGCTCAGTCTTTTGTCCTTCGGAATCTTAGCCCCAAGGCTGATACCGAGACGGCCGTTTACGTTTCCCACGTATTCTCCTCCAACGAATTTATTGAAAACTCGACTGTGTCATTTTCGAACACCGTTGTTTGACGAACGACGTTCCTTAAGTCCTAACATCATCTTTTGCTATTTAAATGCACTCGTTCGTCATCTTCGGCAGTCTCATAGCCCAAGTTCAGCTGGCGTCCCCGAAAGCATCTTAAAGGCAAATGCAAAGAATACCTTTCATTCACTCTTGTGCAAGACATTTATTATCGCTCTTGAAACTGAAATCCTTCCATATTAGTGAGCGGAATTGTACATCGTGCCGCTCGCAACGAACGGCCGTTCGCAACATTTGACAGTTTTCTGCCACGAAACGTCATTCTGTCTGTTTTGAAGACCCTAGAGATCTTGATCAAAAAGTAGACTATACGCCATTTAGCAAATACCAACATACGAGATCCATCGTACGTGCATTCTTAAAAGCCTGGTCTTACGACATCCTCCAGCTCTCTATTTCAGACTTTGTTTTGCAATCTCAGGAGATAATCCTTGCACCTGAACAATTTTCTTCGATTTTGGCAGAGCACCTAATCGTGGGAACCATCACCCACTTTGCTCTAAGATCTCACGTAAGATTAGAAATTAATGATGGCGACAAGAGGGTGATGGAGCAGCACGTGGGAGCCCAGGCGCCATGACGTCGTCTTTCACTGACTGCGACAGACCAAATCGTCCTCAATTTTATGAAATTGCGATACTACAAAGGCAGCAACAAACTTCCAGATTCGAATATACGCGTCACTAAACATGATGCAAGGCAACAACCAGCAGTTCGAAGTTAGTGCTGTGGTCCGAAATCCCTGATCCTTCGACTAAAAATTGGAGGACAGGCTAAGACAAGGACCAGCTGGGGATGCGAAAGAGCCATGAAAGGACAGCTCACATCTGCCTTGTTTGTAGAAATCCACCCTTGTTTGTTTGAATGCTTATAAGCAACATTTCTTGCTGTCTGTTGAGCCGAAGTCACTATTTGGGGCGAATTACAGTCGAGTAAGATTCAAAGTACATAGGAAGGACAAAAGTCTAGGTGGCAAGTTTCATCCGTTAACTGCAACATCCCTGCAACATGCGACATGCCTGTAAACTGGAATTCAATAGAATCATTTTCTCATTTTACGTTGGAAGATCACAAAACACTAGTTAAGGGATGCCAAATTTCCTCCATTAATGTCTTTTAGTGTGAAAGATATTGCTTTATTGCCGATACAAGCGAAAATGCGAGTTCCAGGAACTAGTTGATCAGAAGAAGAAGCGATCGCTGGAACAATGGCTTTATTCGCCTGACGTTTCGGATTCTCTCTTGAATCCATCATCAGAGACAGTTGCAGAAAAGGGGTGGCTAGTGTACAGGCAGTCGCAGTATTTATAGGATGCGGTCGCCATGTTACCGCATACCTGCAGCAATTAACCGTGCTCCCTTCATCAAGGAGTGTTGCCCGCAGGTGCGCTAATGGCTTGATGGCCGGCATGCAAGTTGTTAATTGCTGACATCTCATCACCCGTGTTGGATGCTGGCGTGATGATTGCTCGGCCATCTGGCTCACGTGCTTGCGCGCTCCTCGAGTGGTCAATTGCTTTGGCCAGTCTATGCCTCAGGACTGAATATGGAGTGGGGATGTCATTGCACTTGTTGATAGACTGAGGTCCCGTGAACCATGACTCAAGCAACTCGCGGCTCACGCGATTATCCACTCTCGCGAGAATTTCGGCCTCATCGAAATTGAATGTGTGCCCGGGTCTCGTCGAATGGGCCGCGACCTGAGAGTTGGCGTCATTTCTCCGTACAGCTGCCACGTGTTCGGCAATTCGCGTCCGGAGCAGTCTTCCAGTTTCTCCGACGTAGTTGCTTTGTCCGCAACTGCACCAGATCCGGTAAACGACTCCAGATGTTTCTTGCCGTGGCAGTGGGTCTTTTGGTCTCATCACTTGACGCCTCATGGTGGCCTCCGGTCTGTGCGCAACTCCAACCCCAAGTGGTGCAAGAAGGCGGTTAACGGCCTCGGAGACGTTCTTGATGTACGGGATCGCTCGCCAGAATTTGGGGTCGGCGCGATTTTGTCGCTCGTCTCGTTTGCGCAAGCACTGGTTGACGAAGTTGCGCGGGTAACTATTTTCTCTGAAAGGCCGTTGAAGTTATTGTGATTCGGCAACCTTGTCTTCCGGTTCACTGCAGTGCGTCTCAACACGCCGACATAGCGTTCTTACGCAACTGCGTTTGTGGCAGATTGGGTGGTTACTGTTGAAGTTCAGAATTTGCGTCGTGTTCGTTGCTTTTCTGAACACTTTGGTCTTTAGGCCACCACAATCTTTGCGACAGACGAGGACATCAAGGAATGCCAGCTGGTTATTCTCTTCCTCCTCCATCGTGAATTGTATGTCCGGGAAGACGCTGTTGAGACGTTCTTTGAACGTTAGCACCTGATCCCGTTCGATGACGACGAAGGTATCGTCCACATACCGAGCCCAGAATTTCGGTCTGTGGTGTTGGAAGACCAGCGACTCCAACCGCTGTAGCACCGCTTCGGCGATGAATCCCGAAATCGGCGAGCCCATCGGTGTTCCCTTCACTTGCTCGTAGATTGTTCCGTCAAACGTGAAGTACGTCCTGAGACAGAACTTTAGGAGCTGAAGGACTTGGGCATGTCCGAGACGATTCTCCGTTTCATCGTATTTGTTTCGTAGGAGTAGCTGGACGGTCTCGATTGCCAGATCCTGGGGGATAGAAGTAAAGAGAGACGTGACATCAAAAGATACCATGACCTCATTGGGCAAGAGACTTACTCCTTTAAGCTTCTCCACGAATTGCGTTGACGAACAGACCGTGGTGTCCGAATCAGCGGTCAGAAATTTGAGGCGCCGAAACAGCCATCTTGCCAGTCCGTACGTTGGAGTGCCTTTGAGCGAAACAATGGGCCGGAGAGGAGCGCCCTCCTTGTGCACCTTTGGGAGACCATAGAATCGGGCCAAAGCCGTTTCTTGAGCTCTCGCCATGCGTCGGTCGGTCGCTGTTATTGCACCCGAGTTCTCCAGTGCCAACAGTGTTGCATTTATTTCGCGTGTCAGCGTTTTTATGGGGTTGGTTTCACATGGGACATAGAACTGACGATCCTCCAGTAGGTTTTTGGCCTTCTGAAGGTAGTCTGTTCTGTCCAGTACGACGGTGGAACGCCCCTTGTCCGCGGGCACAATGACGATGTTCTTGTCGGCCTTGAGTTCTCTTAGTGCATGGCGTTCAACCTTTGTGAGTGTTTCGCGCGGCTTGTGAGTCATAAGGAGGGACGTAACTTGGTGTCGGATAAGATTCTTCGTCTCCTCCGCCGCTTCCGTCTGATTAATGACCGATTCCACTGCTGAAATCATGTTGACAGGTTTGGCGTCAGCTGTGTTGAATGAGGCTTCGTGCCGTAAAACCTGTACTTGCTCCTTCGTCAGTTCCTTTGACGACAGGTTGTGTACCAGTGTGCCGCTTTTGGATGACGTTGGATCAGGCAGTTTGTGGAATTTGTTCCCCAGTGCTGCATCGCGTGTCGCTCTCTGCTCGCTTTATTCATGCGGTTTCAGAACATTCTTGCATTGTGGTACGACATTGGTCAGGGAAACCGAAGTATTGCATACACCAGATAGATCGAAGGTATACTAACCGAAGTGAAAATCATTGCAAGATTAAAAAAGACCAATGAAGTGCGGCTGGCGGTAAAACTTTCGCGTCAGCATCTTCGCGGTAGGCAGTAGGAATTCTCCCCCCATTTTATGCCAAAACGCACCCGGCACGGTCTTTAGTGGAACACGCTTGCAATTCATTGTCAACGAGCCTTGGAAAATACTCTTAAGAAGGAGTGACTGACTGGGAAAGCGTGATGTCAATCTTTTCAGGGTCGAAGTTCGAAATTAAATAAAATTCCGAAGAGGATTCTGAAAACGAAATTCACACAAGCAAAAAGCGAATGGCCATTAACCATCGCTTGTAAAAACAAAAGATTATTTGCAGGCTTATATAATGCAATTCCGGCAGTCCGGATTTTGCATATTTTAGTGCTCGAAACACTAACTGACTAATTAATCCCACAACAAGTGTGAAAGAAAGTTTGATTGTCAGGATTATCGGTTTTTGTATTTCTTGGTCGGATTGACGGCCTTTTTATGGCGCTTTAGTCTTTGCTTAATGACAGAATTAGAGTCCCTGAAATATTACAATTAATTTAGAATTATGTGTTTAATTCAAGAACTTGACTTCCGTCTGTGGGTCATACTAAACAAAGTACGTTCTTATCATTTTGTCAATAAATGCAATTTTGGACGGTCAAAGGTTGGAGGCGCGCTACTACCTGGTATGACATCTTCTGTTCTCCCCATTCCAATAACTTCACGAACATTCCGTATGAATACTGCTCGATTTATCCCGCTGAAGACCAAATGAAGTCGAAGCCACAATGAAAACCCGGTTTCAGGATGCTGCTGATCCATCCATTTGTTGTAACTTATGGACAGTATGCCCTGCTTGATTATGTAAATCGGTGTGCGCCCGGTGGCAAGTATTGCTAGGGGGCATTACTAACTATAGACAGAAAAAATACGTCCGCAACGACATAAGCAGCTCACTAAGAGTGCAACAGGTCATACGCAGACAGCTGTTTCACAGTCGTCACCGATCGTCAGTACGTCATAGGCCTTATGAAGTGAGGTATATAGACATTCCAGGTAGGCGTGGGACCCTCACTGTTGCGGTTAGGATCTCACTCGATTCCATCCTCTCCGCTCGCCAATTGCACTCCTAATGATCTGCTTATATATTATATGTGGTATCTGTTCTATGGCATAACGCTCGTTGTCGCCAGTAGGAAGTTGGCGGACGGACAGAAGCGGTAGTGCAAGCGCCTCTACCGGCAGGGTACCAGGCGTCAGGAAACTGCCAGCGCATACCAGACTGCGGGGACTATGGTTTACTGATACTGGCCTAGCACATGTTTTCAGACCTCGACCTAAAAGGGCGACACATGGCCCTGAACTTAGCTTGGGCCGTCACCCTTCAAGGTTAGGTAACCAAACGGTTGTCGATTGAGAGGCACTGCCCGCAGCGCACACACACAAACACTCCCCTCATATGCATGAGAGTGTCACAGATCGCTTGAAAAGGGGCCGTGACAGCCTGGCTCTAAGCATACCAGTTCGCCATTCCACACAACGCATACAACTGGACAGACTGCGTAAACTGAGCTGGGGTGCCAGTCGGCTGCCTTCCGAGTCATGGTGCTCGACGCACCGTCTTCGTCTCAGACTCTGACCACACATGCAGCATAGGAGCCGCATGCAGACGGCGCCGAAACGCGCACTTTCCACTTGCGTGGGTGATGGCAGTTGGGTTCAGTTCGATGATGTTAATGTGCGATGAGATGCGCTGAGGGAGGATGTGATGGTATGGAGCAGCCGGCGGTTGTCTACCGCAGGTTTTCGTGGACGCGCATGTGGTCTAAGAGACTCATGCAGTGAATAAATCTGCGAGTGTAATTTGGGCAGTGGAGGCGGATGCGGTGAGTGCAGGTTGGTGCTCCAGGCACTGGGTCGCCGATCTGTGTACGATGGATTCGCAAGTGACCGATCAGGCCGATGCGTGAGGTGAATGTACGGGGTCAGTGTGGACATGAGATGTCGGCGGTGTCTGTATCAGCTTCGTTGATGGTGATAGTAGAGCTGGTGGTGGTGGGCGTGCTGGGCAACGGGGTGTGGGTTGGGCTTAACATTGTAGGTATGCAAGGTGTACTGAGTGTGATGAAATTGGTGGCTGGATCGCCTACAGAAAGCGGATATTATTGAGCCCGTGCAAAATTCGGAATGCGCAGCCCCAATACTTCCCGATGGTTCTGTGCGTATCTGTGGCGACTACAAGCTGACAATCAACTCAGCAACTAAACTGAACCCTTATCCTCTCCCGCGCATCGAGGATCTTTACGCATCCCTCTCGGGTGGTCATCAATTTACAACTTAGGACCTAAAGCATGCCTACAACCAAGTCGTCCTAAACACCGAATCCCGAGACGTCACCACCATCAATACACATCGGGGTTTATTTCGATATGAAAGACTACCATTTGGAGTAAGTTCGGTCCCCGGTTTATTTTAATGCTTGATTGATAACCTCGTGAAGGATATACCCCACGTTTGCGCATACCTTGACGATATATTAGTCACCGGCCCATCTCAACATTGTCATCTAGCGACTCTAAGCATCGTGTTGGGACGTTGAGAAGAAGCAGGTTTTAAACTCAAGAGAGATAAGTGCACTGTCCTTGCCAACTCGGTAGAATACCTGGGCTTCAGGGTGGATAAAACTGGCCTCCATCCACTCGAACATAAGCTCAAAGCCTTGAAGACGGCTCCGCGCCCCAATAATACTAGTCAATTGCGTTCATTGTTGGGGTTGGTCACCCACTTTAGTCGCTTTATTAATCAGTCGGCTACGATTCTAAAGCCCCTTTATCAACTACTTGAAAAGAATCGTTGCTAGAACTGGTCGGAGGTCGAAGTAAGTGCTTTTGAACAAGCAAAGGCGGTTGTTACCTCCTCATCTGTCCCAGTCCATTATGACCCCGAAAACCCTATCATACTGAAATGTGATTCGTCTCCGTACGGCGTAGGTGCGGTTCTCATGCACCGAATGCCTTCTGGTGCGGAGATGCCGATTGCCTTTGCATCAAAAACCATGTCACAGTCGGAAACCAACTATTCGAAACTGGATAAAGAGGCCTTATCAATAATGTTTGGCCCACATCGCTTCCACCTGTACCTTTTTGGCCGACCCTTTGAGATTCACACCGATCACAAACCCCTCTTAGGTCTGCTGGGAGAAAAGCGAGGGATACAACAGATGTCCTCGCCGCGAATGCAACGGTGGGCACTTTCTCTGTCTGCTTACACGTATGCATTGAAATACGTTACAGGTAGTGCAAACGTAGTGGCTGACGCCTTGAGTAGGCTTCCTATTGTGGACGATGGCAGTAACGGGGCACCTGTTTTCGAGACCGTAAATCTTTTGCAGAACCTAGTCAACGCACCTGTAACCTGTCAACAAATTCGACAGTTGACATCGAGAGACCCTCTCTTAAGTCGGGTAAAAAGAGCCTAACAATCTGGCTGGGCGTCCTCTACCTACCCTACAAGACGGATGCATACTATGGGGTAATTATGTGGTTGTGCCACCACAAGGCCGACGGGCTATCCTCAGAAACATGCATAATGCCCATCCCGGTACAGTTAGAATGAAAGCTCTCGTCCGCAGCTATGTTTGGTGGCCCAAAATTGACGCAGATATAGAAAACGTGGTGAAAGCATGTCACGTGTGCCAAATAACACAGAAGACCTTACCGAAGGCTCCTATGAAGCCTTGGGCCTGGCCCGACTCGCCGTGGAAGAGGGTACACGTCGATTATTTTGGGCTATTCCAAGGCCATATGGTTTTGGTGGTAGTTGACACCCACACTAAATGGATTGATGCGATTCCGACTGGAAATTCTTATTCTTGACTGACTACAATCAACAAGTTGCGAACCGTTTTCTCTACTTTTGAAATACCTGAAATGCTCGATTCAGACAATGGCCCGGCCTTTACTAGTGCAGAATTTAAAGATTTCATGGAGAAAAATGGAATTAAACACTTAACTACTGCCCCGTACCGCGCTGCTTCTAATGGCCTCGCAGAGCGTGCAGTCCAGACAATAAAGCACGGACTAGCCAAACAGACGGAAGCGGACTTGGCCACCAAGTGGTCATGCTTTCTGTTTAGCTATCGCATAACACCAAACGACTCAACTGGTGCTTCGCCTGCAGAATTGATGTTCAAGCGGCAGTTGTGGACACGACTCGACTTCCTTAATCCATCAACGCATGATAGAGTCATCGCAAAACAGACGAAGATGAAAGCACGATATGATGTGAACACCCGGCCACGAGTCGTTGCGCCTAACGAACGGACACAGTAAGTGGAGAGTTAGGAAAGTTCGAACTGCCAGCAACCCTTGATAGGAATCCTGACATCCCGAGGACTGAACACCTACTGCCTGCACAGAGCACTACGCCACCGACTGGGGCGTATGTTTCTCCTCCT